TGGTTCACAAAGTGGCTGCCTTCTAACGTGTCGCGGGTTCTCTTCTTACACGAAACAACTCTTTGTGTGACCTTATGTATTCTTACTTGTATAGCTATCTTTTTTTTGTTAACGGGGGGAAACCTTCAAAAGGCGCTCTAGCTTTTGGGGAAAAAGACTAGGGAGTGTGCGAGTTTTACCTCACTAAAACCTCCCCGGTGGCCACCATCAACACCTATAAGGAACACCACCAAGATTCCCCACTCGTGTGCCCGTGACCTCAAAGGTTTGTTGCATATCGTTGAGACAGAATGGCGTGTGAGGCACCGAAGCGGTTGCTTCCTCGACGCCTTCTTCGAACGGGATCGGCCCTCTCGCAATCCCGCTCGGCAGCCTCCTTTTGGGACATTATAATCTCACAAAAAGCTTGTATTGCTATCCTTGTTGTTAAGTTTGAATCAAAGAGATGTTGAGGTAGTTAGCATTATTTTTCAATTCTATTAAGATTCAACTTAACGTTAATGAAATCAAATAAATAAATTATAATCAATCATCAAAATCATTTGCAAAAAAAGATATAATTAAGTTAGGTACCTACTCATAAGTCATCAACTAAACTATAAAAGTGTGTATTAGGTATTGTGAATATTTCTCGAACGCAAAACAGTATCTAACAATGACAGACATTATTTTACGGTAAAGAACCGTACAAGAAGTAAAGTGTTTACTTATTGCGTAAGAATATAATTATCTTCCGTCATTTAGACTGTGGTTCCCCTGATATTGTTATACTTAATTAATGAATTACTTACTATGCCAATTTTATAAAGAATTTTATAAACTCAGTAAGGTTTTGGTTTTTTGAATTAGTAATGGTTTTGTGTTTTATTAAGTAATAGGAATATCCATTACTTTTTAACTTTTAACTTAAAAAAATCTACAAAAAATCCCTGATTGCTCAGCTTCATATTTAGAAGCTTAAGATGGCGTTGTAATGGCGTCTTCCAAATCCGGGACTAAATAGCTAATGTATATCGAATTCGATATGTTGCTAATACATCGCAAGGTTATTCATTTAACTTAGTTTTAAAACCCCCGTTTCTTAAAAATTACACCCAGTTTCCGAAAGACCGATCAAGGTTAAAATCAATTTAATCTCTTGTCAAGTCATCTGATTGGTTGTTGATAATTCAGTCAACCAATCAGATGACTTGGCAAGAGATTAAACTGATTTTAACATTGATCGGCCTTTCGGAAACCGGGTGTTAGTCCAGTAAATATTACCTACTCATTTGTTTTTGTTTACCTACTATTTTCCTGTTGATTCCAAAACACGTGACGTATTTGTCGTATTTTTTGTTTAGGTACTTGTGCAAAAAAAAACGTGTAGGAATTTCCTAGAAAGAAGACATGTGTGTGTGAATTGTCGAGGAATCGCGTAAAAAGTCCTAAGTCTTGACTTGACCTACCACAATAAAGTCGTTGATAAGTAACTTCTTATTTTGACGAAATATAAATAGGTAGGTACAGAAAACCTTATTAAGGAGAGGTACTTGTTACTCTTATTATAGTGGTTTAAAGTCCAAAATGGGTAGATTAGGTGAACGCAGATGCATCTCGCTGACATCTCTAAAATTACTCCTCGCAGTGTCTTTTATGTGGGAAAAGATTACAATACATCTTCCTATCTATCCTAGCAATCCCCTTAACATTATACAGACCAAAACAAAAAAGTATTTTCCAAATCCGCCATTCGCCAGCGTGTTAACCAAGTTCTAGAGATTACGCGAACAAAACAGACTGGGCAGACATTATTGTTATCTGGCACATACCTACCAACCAATTAATATAGATTAACGTATCGTGTTGTTTTTTCAAGCGTACTATTATCTAAATTATTCTATATTTATCAAGCGTTTATTCGTACTTAATTTCCTGTTCTATTATAAAACTTTGATTAGCTGAATCTCGTGCGTGATGTGAGGGTCTAGACCGTCTTAACATTGTTATTGTGAGATTTAAAGGACGAAAACAATGAGCTTCGAGTTAAAAAATTGGGGCCATCATGGCGACAGCCATCTTTTGTAAGACTTGCTGGGACGCTTCATCATAATCATGACCTATGAAGGATGAATGAGCACAGATAAGAGGAGGAAAATTTACGTCCCTTCTAGGGATACTAAAAGAAAATGGCACAGGCGAAAATGGCTTCTTGACTCAAAAATACTTTTCATCATCAGCCTATAAGTGCCCACTGCTGAGCAAAGGCCTCTTCTCATACGGAGAAGGTTAGAGCATTAATCACCACTCTTGCTCAATGCGGGTTGGCGATTTCAAACTTATAATTAGAAATTAAAAGTCCAGGTTTCCTCACGATGTTTACCTTCACCGTATGTCAGTGTCAGTGGTGTCTAAATAATCATAGAAAGTACATACAACTCGGAAATGTCACATTGATACATGCCAGGTTTCGAACCTCATGCATGAGAAGCGGGCTCCTTAACCTCCGGGCCACTATGAAAAAAATCTTTTAACTCAGTTTAAAATTGTTGCCAAATATGAATTAGCTACTTTAAAAAAAGATTAAAAACAGATCGCCTCTCATAGGAACCTAATTTTTGAAGACTTTAAAAGTTGATTGTCTCCACAAATTGAGATCTAGTTGGATTTTAACTTTGCAAATATGATTACTTGTAGGCAAGCATAAAATTGTGTATCAAATATTAATAAATTAACAAAAATATTTAATCGGGACTCTAAAACAACATGACAAGTGGAATTTTTTGACGAAAATCCACGTAAAACCCAAAGAGTGATGATAAGTAATTATTTTATCTTAACTGTACTTACATAAAATAAGGAAAATAACGTTCAAAACTGCGTAGTGAAATTTCACCTTACCTACTATGTTATACTTATGAATTTAGGAACGTGCGAATTGGATTTTCCTTTTAACATATGTAAAAATGTAATAGGTACTATCGTGCAGCCACTTCTACAATCTTTATGCTTTTATGACGTCGATCGATAAATATGTTAATCTAATCTATAACTTCCTGTAGTATTATTATAATGTGTGTTATAACTAAAAATCTTTTGTTTCCCGTTTTTAATAAGGATGTGAACGATGCATAAGTTAGAATACTTAAGTAATTAATTGTAATCAACGAATGGCTGAATCCGGTTGTGAAAACATGTGTCCTCTTTTAAGGCCAATTGTCAAAGGTCATTGAGAAATAATAATATCAAATATTATATTGATCTGCGTAGATATGTACATATGAAGCAGATTACATAGGATTTTAGAATCAGACGCTTTTTGTGAGGGGAAAATCATCAAATTACTTCTCAAAGAATAATTCATTTGGTGTGTTGAGTGTCAGGCTCTTACTGTCTAAAAAACCCTTCCTTATCCTGCTCTAGGCTGAGGCCGCAGTGCCTCATTGCGCGTGCCTCGCAATCGGCTGAACATCAGCCCTGTAGGGCCCCGTCTGTGGTGATCTACTAACTCGCTCTCCGCAGACCCGCGCTAGCGGATATCATCTATCGAGAATAAGACACTGGGCAGTTTAAAGAGCCCTGCGCCTCTTGTAGGGAATTAATGATCTTTATCCTCAAAAGTTAGATACCTAAATTTTGATTTATGTACCATTTTTAAAATAGTGTCGGATAAAGCACAAAGAAGATTGTAGCACAAATAGTAGTCAACAATAAGATAGGTATGTTTAAACAACAACTATTATAACTTACCTTGCAAATACATTGGGGATTTAAAATTTATTTGGGCAGTTCAAAACTTTTATGTTTCTTTACTATTTACATAATTAATAAGTATATAATACATCGAATCCTCGAACCTCGTACCTATTACAATTACGTATGTCATCATCATCATCATCAGCCTAAAAGTGCCCAGACCCACTGCTGAGCAAAGGCCTCTTCTCATACGTAGAAGAACATTAATCACCACGCTTGCTCAATGCGGGTTGGTGATTCCAAACTTATAATTAGAAATTAGTTTCCTCATGATGTTTTACCTTCGCCGTATGTCAGTAGTGGTGTCAAAATAATCATAGAAAGTAGGTACATATAACTGCAGAAAAAGTCACATTGGCACTTGCCAGGTTTCGAACACACATCCTCATGCATGAGAAGCGGGCTCCTTAACCTCCGACACGCCACTGCGACAATTTTAACTTTCTACACCATTATTATTTTTATTTGGAACTAGCATCTTCGTCCGCGTGAAATTGTGGCAGATTGTTGGTTTTACTTACACACGTCCTGATCTCCTAGGACTTTCGGGAAGTTCTCCTTTAGAATTCCTGATATATCCAAAACTTTTAGCATTTTTCCTTGTTCTTTGTCATTGCATAGCATACGATTACTAGGAATTGGACCCGTTTGAATGAAAATGGGCAAGTGACTAACAATCATCATCATCATCAGCAGGAATCAGGAGCAATCGTTTGATGATTTTCGCTCCACAAAAAAGCATTCAAGTGTCTATTGGGTCTGGTACATAAATCGTTATCATTTTTTTGTTGTCTTTTTGATAACAAAAAAAAGTGGTATCTTCAATTGGCCGAAGAAAAAAATAATTATTGTATACCTATTTTTAAATATAATTCTCTTATCGTTTTTCCGAATGCAGCAACATCGGATAGTATCAATAAACTCATTGGCTCAAAACATTTCGTTTCTATACTTAGAATTTGTTGGGGAAAAACAATGTTATATGTAGATTGTTAGAAAATTTATTGTTGTTGAAAAACAATGTTATAGATTTTTTTGGTTTCACATTTTTTTCGATAAATATGTGAAGTAGACAAAGCCACTTGTAGTAGCTAGGTGTTCAATATTGGCGAGAATTTTTTTAGACAGGAGCTTCGATAATTGGGCCTCTTACATGCTTAGGTCATCCCTATGTCAAGGTAATTTCAAATTACAATATGTATTGACATATTGTGCTTTGTGTGTGTGTGTGTGACATGTATAGGGTTGTTCAAATCAAAGTATGGTTTAAATTTTTTCTAAATTATTTTATTCCCTCTATCTCTTTCTTTTTTTCATAATCCTTATGATATCTTAGCGCTATTTACAGTTTGTATAAATTAAAGTAGTAATAGTTTATTTTACAGTAGGCTACTATTGTACAACACTTTCATGAACCATGAAAGATTTTGACTACTTAAACTGTACCATTCAAAGTAAACTTGAACGTACAAATAATAAACAAAAATGATTGAGAACTAAAAAGAAAAGTGATTCGATACAATTCAACAATTTTTGATATGGTAACACTACTGATTGATTTGAAACAAATTAGTTACAAAAACAAACATACCTAAAGATCGATCTAATTTAGACCAAAAATAAAAACTCAACACCAAGTACCTAATGGAAAAATAATTTAGTTATAGGAAGAGAGTGCCGACATCACACTTTCAATCACAAAAACAATAAATAACGTTTAAATTAAATAAATGGCACAGACCAAATTCTACAACCATTGTCGGTACATGGTGAAGCGTAATATATCTTTTACCAAACATAATTTCGATTGAATATAGTAACAAATAATAATTTCGCTTGTTGATTAGCCAAATAATCACGATTTGAATATAACCAAAATAATATAATGATAATAACTCTATGATGGAAGCAACTGATCGTTGTGCAACAAAAGAACAAACACTTCTGCGTAACAACATAATGGCAATCAAGTAATCGCTAAATAACATCGGTGGAGATCACAATTACACGATATAACTTTATATAAATACAAAATATACATAGGTCATTTACCTAACACTACATCAACAACTTCAATGCAATATACAATCTATATTGATGTGAAATTGATATGATTACATTAGGCTTATGAGGAATTAACGTAGTAGTTAACTGAATGCTTCATATGAATAAAGTCATTCCTGAGGGACGCGCGCGGCCCCATGCCGTTTGCACAGTTAGATCACAAGAACGCGATATCAGTCTCACTTATTCTGTCATTATGAACGTTACGACTATACCACAGCAGTAAAAGCCGGAACGAAATAGTGGCAATAAAAGCCGCATAAACCTGTACCAGCATTGTAACAGTGCGTTTCATTTGCATCCGTGGACTTATGCGATTCTTATTGTTTGTTAAGTCCGAGCTTCTACGTTTATAAATTAGTAACGCGTGTCCGGGGCGGGCCAGCCGCCCGGCCGCTTGATCCCCGTGGATCCTAAACACTAACTTACAATCTCGACAGAGACAATATTTGGCTTGGGGTACTTCTTACTGAAAGTTTGACATTCGGACGAACTGCGTAGGAGTGTTTCAGTGAGGACAACCGCAAGCCTACAATAGGCCGGAATAACTTAAGTTAAATTCATAAATAAGGAAACGCGGGCGTCCTGGGCAGAGCGGGCCGGCGCCAGCGCCGGGCAGCGCGGCGGGCGCTACACGCAGTCGTCCAGGTCCACGTCGGGCACGAGCCGGTCGTGCGACGCGGCGGCGCGCGGCGGCAGCTCGTTGCGCGGGTCGCGCGCCAGCCACGGGTGCCGCAGCACGTCGCGCGCGCTCAGACGCTCGCACGCCTCGCGCCGCAGCAGCGACCTGATCAGGCACTTGCCCCGCGACGACAGGCACTCCGGCACCACGAAGTAGCCTCGCGATATTTTCGCGAACAGAGACGCATGCTCAGAATCGTTGAATGGATACCTGCAACAAAACAAACATAACGTTAAATATCGCTCTGTAGGTTAACGTGAATCATTACATATCTAATCTAATGAATCTGCCATTCTATCTAGCGACGAAAAATAGCCTCGCGAATGGTGCTTTACTTATCGCATTTTAAAGGTGCGTCATTAACAATCGGCAGAGAGTAGAGTCCCTAATCGCTACGTTTTGAAAAAACGCGGTCCCAATTAATAGCGATCCGATTGTCATTTAGAAAGCGCAGCTGCAAAGCAAAACAAAAACTCAGGTATGCTGGAACCCTTCCGGCGACAGGTGATGCCGGCGATTGCGGCCAAATCCCGAATTTCGTATATAAATTACGGGTGCGGGAGCTCGAAAAAAGTAGAAAACAAAGGCTCGCGAACGGCAGGTGCCTGCGGAGGCGGGGCGCGGGGCAACGTCTTCGCCACATGACCGCGGCAGGTGCGGCGAAGATTTCACGAGCCTCATTTATATGTGGGTGATATAATTGTTAGCCGTTGGCGCGTAACGGCCGACAGGTGATCATCCCCACGGCTACGTCGCCAACGGTCGCCGCGACCCTCGCTTTGTGATCTCTCCAAACGGTAAGTCCCACGCCTCGCAGGTGAAGACGCCCACCCTGCGCCCTTCGCATTCATTATGTCTGTTTAATTGTTCCTAACCTACATTCGTTATTTGAACCGGATCCTTACTAGTAACGGAGTGTCGGTATTAGATACGCACCTTCCAACGAGCATGGTGTATAGTATCACGCCGAGCGACCACATGTCTGCCGCTCTGCCGGAGTACGTCCGATGAGCTCTTAGGATTTCTGGCGATACGTAGGCGGGACATCCTCGCTTGTCCTGAAGTAAGTCTTCCTCAGGATCGTCGAGAACTACTGCGTCTTCTAACGACTCCAGTTTTAACGTCGTTCTGAAACAAATAGACAAGCATTTAGTATTTAGTCGGAATAACTGAAGTGGAAAGTACGTTGTGTACAATTATGCAAGACATTTATCTGAGGTAATTGTATGCAGTATCTAGTGTATGTGGGGCCATTCGGCCGGCTTCGCGTCAGGTCGCCTGTGTTTGACGTGCATGACCAGTGACCCATATAAATCGCGATCGTTTGCCTATAATACACGCGCGCTACACGCACTCGTCCGAAATGGATCCCTTTGTGCACAAAGCTTTGTCGAGCCACTATTAACGATTCGCGAGCTCCGCTAATTATTATTAAAGCGTCATACATTATACGTATTCGCGTCCACGTTGCAAAATGGTTTCGGGGGATACAACGTGTATTGGTGCGTATGCAACAATAATGTCATGTAAATAATTACACAGCGAACCATAAAGCTGTTCGGTGATGCAATAGGTTTTGTTTCATCACTTCGGGCTTTAGGCTCACCGTGCGCGACCTCGTATTTCACAGAGCGGCCGCATCGTTTCGAAATGCATTATTAAATGCACAGTTGGAAACATTACACCCGCTGCCTCGTGTATGATTGAATGTAAACTAACTCCAATCGGGCGACAAACGGGACTTTTTCGATCTTCGATTTCATGGGAACGCGTTACGCTCTCTGCCTTGTTCACGCCGCAGATGACTTGCTTACTAAACTAGGGCCAGGATGCAATAACGCGTTGAAAGGAAACGGTTGATAATATTTTATTCTTATTATTTATAAGCAATACTACAGGTTAAAACAGGACAGGTGCACGTAAGGCAGTTCGACGCAGCAAAATCAACATATGCATTAAACGCATACATGCACAGTTATTTTTAGCCCCCGTGGTAATAGTATAAAGGGAACGGGGAGTTGAAGATCAGCGTCTGTTCTATAATTAAATAGGTATGTATGCACATATTATGTACTATCAGTGTCATAAGTGCATGGAGGATTCCAAATCAAAATCGTTTGTACGGCGTTTCATCGCCTTAATAATATACCATGGATGACATAGATGGCGCTAGTATACTAGTGGTATTGAAAAATATACATTTATAGTTTTTATCAGATACAAAGTTATTAACTTAATAAATTTTTATATAAATTAATGCTACGATATTCCAAACCTTTTTAAAGCAAAGCACGCAATAACCAGGATTCGAACTCGGTAGCATAAAATTTACCGATGCCACTAGCCATTAGGCCATTGCGTAACCTTGAGATGTAATGAAATTATCCTACTCTTTATTATATTGAAGTTGTTTAGCAACTTTGACCCGATCATAAATCTCAAAACAGTTGAGGGTAATTTAATATTAACTGTATAAAAATTAAACCATTTTGTTCAATCATAACATTCTTTACTATCTTTGAGTGAGTTCAGTTACGATTTGTTTAACAAGTTTTTAATATTTATTTTTATCATGAGCTTGCGTTCAAATATTAATATGGCTACAAGGGCCCAAATAATAGCATTGCATAATCAAAGCTTAAATTATACTGAAATTTCGAGAGAAACTGGCTTAAACGTAAGTATTCTTTTAAAATGACCGTTCGTTATTTATTTTATTATCCATTGTTATCGATATATAATAATACACGTCCCTTACAGGTAAAGACTGCCACTTTATGGATATCTAAAGCTGTTTCAAGAAGAGGGTTCATTGGAGCACCGTAGTGGATCTGGCAGAAGACGTGATATTGACTCAGACCAGCTTCAACTTATGGGGCAAGGTTATGAGGAAAATTACTGGAGCATGGTCATCTTCAGTGATGCCAGCAGTGAAAACTACATAGATGTGCGCTGAAAGACGTCATGAAGATGTGCTAGTGATAACGTTCGTGCAGGACAATTTGTCCCATGTGTAATGTTCCGTAATTGTGCAAGTGTTTAGTCAGCAATCAGACATGCGGATTATTCCTTGGCCAGCGAGATAGGAGAAATAGGATCGATAAAAATGGCGGCTAGACTAGTTCTTAAAAGAAAAGATATTGTTGACTATAGGATTAAGCAATTACAAGACCGGGGTAGCTATAATTTATTTAATGGATAAATGTTCAAACTTAGTGTTAGTAGGATAAATTTATTGACTACTTTATAACCAGCAACTGTTATACAGTAATGATTTTAATGTTTTACTAAATATGAGAAATAAAAATAAAAGCAATATTAATATCTACAGATGCTATTGATTGCAAAATAATAAATTAATTATTTATTAATTACTATAAACAATTCGTCCCATATCTAACGAATGCTATATCCTGGTCTTAGAAATGTTATTGATTTAAGGTCTAGCTTCAATTTCTTCCTTGTTCTGGAACGAATACTTAAGCTATGAGCCTTTGTCATAACACGATGCACAAAATGAATCACTTTAGTCAATACTTTAATTAAATTTTATGGGGAGGTAAAATAGTTGCAGAAGTAAGGTTGCATATTATATAGAATCGATTTATAACATTGTGTTTAAAATTAACTAATAAATGACTAGCACAACACAATTTTGATTTAAAATACTTATTAATCTTATAAAAAGTGTAATAAATAATGTGTCAGTTAGCTGAAAAGTTATAAGGTCAGGAATACACTATATAAGAAAGAAATATATATTATGTTTAAAGAAATAAATGTCTGAAATTATAATGTCACTAAAATAGTTTTATTTGTTATCCTTTATGAGAATTAAACTTAGTATTAGTCTTAATCTGTAAGAAAAATATGTTACTTTTACATTAATAGTTAGCACATATTATAAAAGTTATTTATATATATTTATTAATATAACTTTATTCTAAAATAATATATAATATATTTATTTTTGTCATCTTTTATAAATATTAAACGTCAAATATTTTATTCATATATTATTATTGTTGATTTTATATAAAATAATATAAAAAAACCATTGTTAAAAAACCCTGAATTTAAATTGATAACCCGGAATTGAACCGGTGCCCTTCACCTTCATTATTCTATCATTCTTATTTATCCGAGCTACCGATCGCATTTTTTATTGTCTATTATTAATTATTGACGCCATCTTTTAATTGGTTTGCTTGACATGACTTAGATGGCGCTATATTAAGTCCTCGGAAATGAGAAAATTAACATAATTTATGTGTATTTGAATATAAATATATTATTGATTCTTAATTATTATTTTAACCATTAAAAACCTTATTGTGTGCCTCTGCAGTGTAAAGTATTCAAGCTTTGCAGGGTTATTTTCATTTAAAAGCAGCGCCATCTAGTTATCAATGGTAGCGTTATGCAAAACCTGTCAGTCAATAGTCGACCTTAAGCTCTCCATGCATTTTTGTCACCCTTAGTACATCATTTACCCTGTAATTGTCTAGAAACAATGTTGAAACGAAATGTAACATTCGATCGTGAGGAAATGTGTAAGTTTCGATTGGCCGTGCGTATTCCGAAAGCTGAAGGCAATAAATATCAAGTTTGCTCAGAGCGCTGTTACAAAACCTACGAGTTGCGGTCTCAGCTATTTGACAAATAGTCTGCGGACGTACGCAAGACTCGCTGGAGCTGAGACGGCTCCGAGGAGATTGCAGATTGCTCTGCCAACACTCTACGACGGACCATATTAAACTGTAGCGCGGTATTAATAACGCGTTGCAATACTTGTAGATGTTAGATAAACGATTGCTATTTATTATGTACACATTTTACCGAGTGATCGTGTCGTGACAATATGGAGCGGTTGGCTCCCGCTAAAGGTTACTCTCGTTAAGACTGTCGCAACATTCGTCGGTTATCAAGTGAAATATGACGCGGCAGGCCGGAGAAACAATTTGAGAATTAGTTGCACCGAGGCGTGCATTCAGTTGTGTGGACTGGAGACGATTTTCGTAAACAGTCGTAATAATGGTGTAGATGTAAGATGGATGCGCGACGCAGTGGTCGTGCGTGGCCAGGCACGTGCGGCGCCGCCAGTTAATCGCTCGGTGTAGCAACAGATCCGCTGTGGGAACTAGTTGACGAAACGCGTGACGTCACCCTGCAACTGCACTCCGGCCCTTTTTTGTAATCCATCAGTGAGCGGAGCCGAGTCTGGAGGGCGTCCTCGTATCCGTTTAGGTTTCGCGACTGCGCAACTGATCCTAATTAAATCCCTACAACGGCAAGGCTAAAGTGCGATGTCTGCACAGTTGCAATCGATTCGAATTTCGCAACGTGTAAATAAGTTATACAGTGTCGTAACGCGGTCGGAAGGTTGGCCGGATTTCCGAGCGTGTTCCGAGCGGTGGCCTCCAAGGATTCTCGCGGTGTCTCGGACGCGAACTGCACGGCCCGCGGGCGAAAGGACACCGTCGACTTTACGCAACGTGCCGCCAGCCCGCTACGCACACGCAGGCCTGCGCGGCCAACTCCTGCGCACCGTGCACACCTCGCCCCCATATCTAATACAGTCGTGAACTCGTGACGTACCCACCTACCCGAAACTTAAAGTCGGCAGTCTATTACTAAATGGACTCACGTTTACAACTTCGCAACTGTGTTAACGAAATATTTCGTTAAATTGCACGTTTGTTAGAAACGTTCTCCTTAACATTTCTTGGTCAAGTTTGTGTTCAGGTGGATCGTCAATCAGCTAGTATATTGGTCGGTAATGTGTTGGTACAATGTCATCGTTCATTAAGATTAATCGTGATTTGAGTGCAGAGTAGGTATCGATATCACGACGCATGTGGAGCGTGTCGGGCGGCGCGCGTCAGTGTGGGAGATCGCCCACAATTAGCGGGATGCGCCGGCGCGCGTTTCGCAACCGTCGTCATTGCTCAACTCAACGTGTTTCGTAACAAACAATGGCAGTCATCGAGACACAGATGCACCACACATGCATGCACTTCCTGCTCGAGTTTGTATCGCCGCTGTATGACAAATACTTGCGCAAGCGCTAGGAAACACTTCATAACTGAGTGTACACAAATCGGAGCCGATGTGTCAGTTGTACAGATTGCGAAAGGCTCTATTTTAATAGGCGAGTCAACAATGTATAATTCGAGTTTGACGTTCGGTATCAGTCGTTTCCGAGCCGTACAACGGCACTCGGTGGAGCAGCGGTTACTCACAGGTTTTCGTAACCCGCATTGTAGGGACACATGATGTCGTAAGCGCAGTGCCAGTTGCTACACCGCGGAGATGCCGCCGGGATACGTTGGGAAACCATCCCGAGTCGGCCATGCCCAATTATAATATCATGCCCACTGTAGTGATGTAACTGTGGGTGCGTCATAAAAGCCGACTGATAACAGCATTGGAATCAAATCAAACTAAAATGTGTGATTCACACGTTTTTGCATACATACTTTTAAATCGCATTATCGCATGACAACTATTTACACTCATAGGTAATTTCCAGAATTTAGGTCTCAAAACAGCGTTGGCGCAGAGCGGCACAGTTCGCATTATCAGAGTGCCGATAACGAAAGTCGAACTAAGTTTTGAAACCGAGCGTTGGGCCGCTTGCGAAAACGCTAATGTGAACATCGGTTGCAAAATTGTTTTAGTTTAAAATCGAACGCATTGACAATGGTGGCGTTACGCTTGTGGCCCAGCTTAGCGGTGATCGCAAGCCTGCTGCGATAATGTCACACCCGTGACATTTCATTGGTGTCGCGCGTCTTGTAGTCGGTGAAGTAAGGAGATCGAGTAGCGCAACCGTGGTGCGGCCGTATTTGGCAGGCGGGCGGCGTCCGCACACCGCCGTGTGTCACAATGGCGTGGATTATGAGCCGCGTTGCGATATGGCATGTTGCAAGTCCGGGCGGCGGTCCAAGCGCCTCCGCCGAAATAATCCCGTGTTGCAACGCGCGGACTGCGGAACGGGCGCCACTCCAGAGCCCGTTGCGCAAACGTACTACCGCACGCAATTGGCCAATTGCGCACCATCTCCGAGTACCCGACGCGCGCGACGTTTACGAAACGTACGATACCGTTCGATGACCCGCGCTCTTCTATTACGTGACGATTGTGTAATGGAAGAAAGCGGTTGGAATGCGTGCGCAAAAAGTATCCAAAATCTCGTCGAATTCCGTCTCGAATCGTTGCAATTACACCGTTACGCGACGTTGTGTTAAATCCGGTGAGCGGTCGACTTTCTAACGCGGGGTCGGTGTACGCGGCGGCGTGTCGCAACAATTTCTCTGAGCGGCCGTCGCGAACGAAGAAAGCGCGACCTCAACGGCGTTTTGCAATCGCACGCCCGCACCGCTGCCGCTAGAGAAAGACATGCTGACGCCGAGTGTACGGTAGAAAGCGTACATCGACCCGGGCTTCCACCGATACTGGGTGCTGTTGTCCTAACCGCAGGGAGAAGCTGCTTGCAGCAATTGCGTTAACAAGATTCCTGCAGCCTCCTGTAACCGCAGAGGCACGAGCCGCTTAGTATAACAGTAATGTTCCGCGTGTGGCTCGATTGGGCAAGTGAACCTGCTGTTACGCAAGTCGCGATAAAGCGCGCCGCATGTCACACTCGTGAAACACTTCCGTTCATTGACTCCTTCCCGATATAACTGCGTTGTCTGTTTCGAAATACTTTCGCCGGTCGACGCAGCACACGTGTGTGAGGACACTAGGCTAACCAAACGTCAAGTTGCACAGTACCCTTCTTCTTTAGGGGTCATTAGTTCGACACATGTTTGTCAAAAAAGAAAAAGTGGCGCCAGAGGTCCCGTCGAGGCGCCTTGGTGCATAACCTAAATGTTGCAATAACCCCGTCACTATTCATGTCTAATTGAAACTTAGGAATTCTGTCGTGCAGGATATTACACGAAGAATCAGCAGTAACCAGCTCACTAGCACGTTTGCGTATTCACTTTCATAACTCGTTGTTACGTTTTAAACCGACTTTTCCAAGTGTTGGGAAACATACGAGTAAAAAGCTGGTGCTCCCACATCGCGGACGAGTAATCATCGTCATTACACCACTATTACGTGTAGAAAGAAAAAAAAAGATTATCGTGCGACAGGCTGTGATTAGTTACGATAGCTTTCACGCTAACGATGACACGTAACTGCACAAAAAGTAATGTCTCGTTTCACCGTACAATCAGGCTAGGCTACAATCATACGAGGAGGACACCTGGCGACAGGTGCGCGTGTCGAGCTCGTCGGAGGCTGTGTAACGAGTTACCAGCACGACCATAAAGGGCAGCTGTGCAATGTATGTCGCCTGACAGATGCGGTCTAGATTGCTCGATAAATAAAAAGAGCAAATCCGCATCCGTATGCGGCCGCACAGCTTCCGGCGCACGCAGCCGGAATAGTCGATTGTTTCTCTCGCAATCGTTTCCTCGTCATTATGGTGAGTCGGAAGTGGTAAAGGTGCGAGATGAATGCTCGCCCCACACACGGCGCTCATAGGTTGGAGGAGTTGGCACATTGCAAGGGTTGCGATACAGGCAATGGAAATCAGAACGACGATTAATCATGAAAGCTATGCCCGCAGCTCGGACGACGCAAGAGCTTGCGATATGTAGCGAACCGAGTGGAGTATTGCGAACTGGCGAGGCAATGCCGAGCGTTACTGAAACAGTTGGTTAACTGTTGGATCCAGCGAGTGGCGCAAAATATATGGAAATATGAAGCGACAAAACATTTCGTGTATTTTAACAACTGATTTATTATGCGAAGCGCAGAGCATCCGAAAAGCTTTGTAAATCCAGTGTTTTGTAACAGCTCCACTCACGCAGTAGGCATAGAACGTTTCGCTTAGTTATCGCAATGTATTAAACGGTTGGTCCTTACGCTCCATTTCATAATGTGTTTGCACAACAGTCGAAACAAGCGCGCGTTTGTCTCTCGTACACGTCGACTGCCTTGATCTAGGTAACTTACATCGAACAGAAACTAAATTTGCTAAAAACTGTTTAATAGCATTAGTGAATGTTATTTGGTGGAAGGGAAATAAAAACAATGAAATGTAATCAAGCGTGAATAATAAACAAAATGGTAATGAAACTTCAGACATTAATATGGGCACGAGGCGGTATGGCGACATTTTGACACCAATATACCGTTTTAACATTTCATATAAAGACAATAAACACAATGTAATCGTACATAAGTACAAAGCAGGAATGAATGACGCAGGATGATTTCGAAAACGCGAAATAAGCGATGTTGCGATTTCGCCTTGTGAAATACATTTACTTCGTGATTGCAGAAACGCGTGGGACGACAAATAGGATTAATCTCCATCGATTCCTAACTATTACCAGGCAAAAATAGGGTTTTAAACATGACATAGTGTATAATTGAGCAGTCCGATGAATTTATAAGGAAAATCTGTCAACAATACTTTGATTTGTGTCGGCCTCAAACACGGTTATCATATTCAAAATTATAGTTCACTTGCTCAGTTTATCGCGATTTTTATCAACATTTCACTCGATATCTTATCACCAGAAAAAACCTGAAAATTTTCTCCACTTGTTTATTTGTTTAGTTGGCAACATGAGTAACATGATAGTGATAAGCAAATATTTTGTAATTTAATGAGTGAACTATTTGTTATGTTAATGTTACACAATTGAGTTTAACTTCGACTATTTATTGGTCGGTCGTTGCGAAAATGTGTTACATATAACATGCACTTATTGTGATGCCATTGGCATGGAAATTAGTTGCGACGTACTGGCGCGGCGCACGGGCTGGCCCGTGTGTGTACCTACTGTGAGCTAAATGCTGTGGTTATGTAGGAATTCTGGTAACATACACTGCCTGATTTAAATACGATTCGAGCTAAAAACCACATTATACGCCGCTAAAGTCAACATAAAAAGGTTGTAAACAAAAAAACTTGTTTGCAAACAGAATTACTCGTATGTACCGCTAAGTCTCTCGCGCTAGCTGCTTACATATCGCGATCATTATCAGAACTCTATCGAGCAAGAACAATAGCTGTGCTGGGGTCCGTACGACCCCAATGTCGCCGCTTACCGCGATAAGACACGCAAAAGCATTTACTATACATTCCCCTACAAGCTGAACGGAACATATCGCAGCACACGACATCCATCACTACGCACACCTTGGTTAATATGTTTTACAATGAGTAAATGCGGCAATGTAACGCTTATTGATTGAATTACTTGTCAAGAAACTAGAACAAAGGTTGTACTCGTACTCGGTCCAGCTTATAAACTCTTTGATACAACAACAAAAGAGTGGTAAACCATGTGCTCTAACGTAAACAATACAAGGAAATCGTATACCGACTAGATGACTAAACGCAGGCTACTGATGAAAATTGTTTTGGTCATAAGTTTGTAAATAAATAAAACTTTATCTTTGCGGGATAAAAATCGCGAGTGGAGAACTCGTTTCTACCGTTAAGTGTTGCTGAAAACGACGCGTAAACAACGCTAATGAGAACCAGTCGAGAACGAGTTCCGCTTATTGATTACCTACCGAGAAAAGGTACGATTTTGCGATACGACTATTTACTATCGAATATTCTCACATGTCGCTAATCGAAAGCGTAAAAGTACGTAGGTCTGTACGGCAAAGAATTTCAAACACCGTACGATTGTGTGAATCGAGAACGTGGATCGAATACGTTTCGAGTGATCGTGGTTGATAAATAAACAGGCTTCTAGGATTCGCGGACAATGCCCTTTGTGTTTCCATAATTATTGGAAGACGAGTCATGTTGAGCTCAGCAATTATTTCTCAGGTTTACTGCTACAGTTCGGATGTGGCACGCCAAACAGCGGTACTTTCTGATTGGTGCGCTCGTGCTGTCCGCCTCAGCGAAATGGTACTAGGCCGATGAAAGTATTGATGCCAACGCCACGATATCGTGATAGATAACACCTAGTTACTTGTATATTACTCAGTGATATAAATTGTGACGGAATATTTCTGAGCTTCGAGTACGTATTTATATGTTTATCCGTATTTATATCTAATTATCTACGCACTATTGAAAGAAACCAATTTCACAAAAAGAAGGTGCGTTTATTTCTTACTAGTAGTAAGTATCTACAAAAAATGCCTAAGGCTCATTGTAATGTGTATTTTTTACACTACGAAGGTACATCGAACTATGAGATCACGCAAGGATCAACGCTCCCTCGATACCGAAGAAGCAATGATCAACAACATTAAATTAAGATGGCCGGTCTATTCGGGCGTTCACCCCGCGGTTATTTTTCTAGACGCAATGATGTAACTTGGAAAGTGCGGAAATGATAATTTCTAAACGCCAACTGAATTACACGGCGACTTATATCACTATTCCGGGCATCTCGCTCGCGGATGCAACGCAGAGCGGGGGGAGGTCAGTGAACTTGCAAAACTTCACCTGTCATATCCGAGGGGAGCGAAACAAAGCGCGTGATGTAAGAGAAGAAAGTGCGGAAATCTATTTAATTATTTAATAAATCGTGCGCACTAACAATAAGTCTGACGACGATGCAATTGTATTAGTTGGATTGGCAGCGTCGATTTTGTAACTGGGAGCGATCGCATTCCAAATTCACATTAGATTCGGTGCGATGGTCGCTTGCACAATGGTGGAGGCGCAGCGGAAGAGAGTGCGGCGAAACGGCACACGCCAGTGATGCAATAAAGAAAGTGCGGAACTGAAGTAGGTTTTCTAACGCGGTGAATGTACTCTAACCATTAGCATTTTATCATTCGCGTCCGCAGGCTGCGCCGCCGAGGCTCGCGGCCGACGACCTCGGGTGATGTCAGAGGAGCCGATGTTGTTATTCGCGTTCGGCAACACTAGTCTTGTGATATAATGTATAATACCTTCGGGATGGAAAATTACAATGCGAAATCACGAGCCTACCGCGAGGAGGTTACACAGACCGTTACATCAAGCTCTTGCTGTATTGGAGACTGCAATGAGTTAAGTAACTAGTGTTGTCACACTTGTTTGTTGCAATTACGAAGCTGACGTAATGCGTGCACTGTGCAACCGAAGGAAACATTATTTGTAAGTTAGATGAAACGTTCAGTCCTACATATGAGTGAACCTTTAAAGCAGTGTGGAATTAACACTGTATCTATAACAAGGTCTTAAAATCTTGCAATATTTATACAAAGCACATGCCAAAAAGAAACGCTTGCAGAAATATAAGTAACCCACTTAAGTTAGCACTGACATAAATAATTGGCAAAAAATATGTTAAAAAGCGATATGTCAAGTTCAGTGGGCGCGAGGCCGATGCGCGAGCGCCGCGTGCTGCTGTTGAGAGAGAGGGGGGCGTGCGGAGCGGGCACAAGAGGGGAGTTCGCCGGTGACAATGAATGGCAAAGCACCGTTGTACTTGACCCAGTATTCCGGCCGTCACGCCCGCCGGTGCAGCGCTGACGTTCGATTGATGACATGCGTGAGACAGACACGACCACACTCACTAACAAACGCTACCATTTCTCACATTAGCACTATAATTAACCAGTATGTAGCACAGCGATGGTTTTATGATAAGCCCGACATTGGCGCACTGACCCACTTGGCACCGGCCGTTAGATTTCTTTACGTCAATCAAAGAATATTTCCATCTAGCAGTCATTAGCGGTATAAGATCTCGATCGGCTGGCGGAGGTGATGTCACCATTTCGGAACGTGCATATTAGTTCAACAATTGAATCATTGTACTAACTACATTATTAAGAATTCAATCTCGACACGTTTAGGGCGCCGAACATAAACAGACGATGTCGAAACGCATACAAAGTATCTCGCAAGCGGTTTCCGATATACATTTGTTTGTGGCTAGATATGTAGCCGAGTATATGTGCCATTGCGCAAGGTCGCCAGCGCACCTGCGTGCCGGTCACTGCAACGGCCGTTGCAGCTCCCACGACATAGGCACTTCATGAATTATTAATTAACTCCAGAAACTTAAAGGGTAACTTCAGGAATTTGGTGTCGTCTGCACCTGCTAATTGACCTTTTAATAATATCATTAATGACGGGTCCTAATAAGCCAATAAGTCACTTAATGGAGAGGTAAAGACAAAATATATCAAAAAACATTGGTAAGCAGCGCTGTCGGCACTCGGCAGTGCGGGCGTCCGGCGCGAGGCAAGCGCACTCGTAATCATCCAAGTGGGTTAAGGTTCCATCAAGGATTTATTGCGGCAAGTCTCCGCTCCAAAACGCCGAGCGTTGGTTACTATGAGCTAACTGCACGCCGGTTCCGCTGCATTTGTCCATTACAACCTTTTGTTATTCCGCCGTTTTAATGTTCGTTCTCAATTATCGACGACGTTCAGTCTGTCAATGTCTGTTTGATGAACAAGGGCAATTTTTTCACTACACGATGCGCACTATTTGGAATACGTTTGGAAAACCGTCCATTTCATTCACCTGTCGCCGCCAGTTACGTACAAGGGCCAGACACAAAGAGAGGCTGGACATCTTTTGTTTAATTAGTGTCGGACAAACAAAAGTAACTTGATCGTTAGGGGCGTCCCTTTGTGCGAGCACTTAGAGAGCGTAACAGTAGGAATAATGAAAACGTCCTTTGAGAAGCTTTTGAAACTCCAACTGTAGTACAATTGAGCGCAAAACAAACAGGTTAATAAGTTTCAAAACGATCCAGATGTATTACAAAATTTCAAAAGCGGTAGCACACAACTGTTTAGCAACTGCATGGTCGATTCTTTCGCAACTCGCATCGCAGCGTCCGGACCACTCGATTAATTGTTCCTATCCTACAACACCGAACATTCCAACTCTTTTGTTTTATAAACAACAAGCATTGTAGTTCACTTAAGGGTACTTGAGCTTTGAAGTTATTGTAAAACACTTTTAAATTACTTGGGGTTATTGTTAAATTTGTAAACCATAATATATGGCCGCTCTTTAGTTTCAGAACGGTTTATTTATTTGGGTGAATGGACAGTCCTCAATGTTTGCAATTAAGCGTACCTTTAGTTATGTGAGAAGGCGACCTCGTATTTGATAAACTGACTTGAATTTTATAACATCTCTCTCTAAAATGGTTAGCAATTATTGAGTAAACGGTGGACCTCGAAATTCGCAGGCCTATAAATGGCATTTATAAAGCAACCACAGCTTAATTTGTTCCACTATTGCACCTCTATTAAATTTAGTTCAAATAGTATCTGGGTAATTTTGGTATAGCAAATAATTTTGATAGACTTTGCTTAAAGTGAATGAAACGAAATTTATGATTGATTGTGGAATTCAAAGTAGGGATTCGACACACAAAGGTGCAACAGACAGAAGGATAGGTGCGCGGGCGGCACCGGCAGATGTGCGTGCACGCATTGTGTCTGTATTGCAGCAACAAAGGCAGGTAGAAACCTAAAGGACGTTATCGTGCCATGTGCTTCGTGTCACTTTTTCATATTGATATATATTTTAGGAAAAATCAGAAAAAAGTTTAATCTGACCGAACAGATGTCCAAGCACATGTCGACTAGAAAAAACGAATACGAGATTAAACTTCAAGCCGTTGCTACGACAACGAAATTAATCACGAAAAACATGGCCAAGTAGGTATTGCTACATTTATGTAAAACTACTCAAAATTTAATATCGAAACAAACAACGAACGCTTTGTTTTGCTGCGTAACTATATAAATTAATTACAATGGTTTCCCTTTGTTACAAAAGAGAGAAACGAATCTAATCCCAGTTATCAAAATTAATAACGGCAAAACCAATTTACTCTGATCGCGTAATATCCTGTCCGACGCATTTATTGAGCTCCGCAGAGTTTTCAATGAAATTGTTTTCCGTGCAAATATTGGAAACCATTTAGACTAGCTAGCATCTGCCCTCGACTAAAATACACGTCTAAAACAAAAGCTATGAAAATACCAACAGAGGGGACTCTTGAATACTATAAAGAAAGGAACGTTCGAAAAAACGGCAAATATTGACCTCGTAGCAGATGTCGAAATCCAAACTTGGAGCTGACTGTAAGTGCATTTGAATAAACATTGCCTCTCGATAGTAACTAAACTGTGTTGACCTTCCGTTGTATCGAATATCGGGCTGTATGCATGTATTTCAACAGATAGAGTTGTCATCGCGTTACTAAACAGAGCTTTATGAACAGCCATTGTTTCTTTTAACATGATTTGTTATGGCATAAAGTGGTATCACTGCACGGAAACAGAGGCGTGCTCAGAAAATTTTGTTGTAGATTGTGAAAAAAGTAAAAAATAAGAAAAACACACCGTATATAGGTAACAATTAACAATGGTTGTAAACCCTGTAAATTATTTGATATTAAAGACATTTAGAATTACTAAACCAGTATTTCCAGTATTTTATAATACTGGACGACGGTTCATATAAAATGGCAGGTTGGGGAGAGATGTGATAAATTCATTTATTGTCTGTCCGGAATGCGAATATCGAACACGTGCGTGCAGGTAAGGTCTCCTTGCATGTGCAACTCATTGTCTCCTTTAAAAAGGTGTTTTCTTAACGCTGAATACGATGAATCCTTGCACAATGGTCGGCAGTTTTCTATCGTCCCATCATCGATTCACCATACATTTGGAACCAATAAATCATGCGTAAGCGTAGGAGAGGAGTATAATGGCAGTATTTGTTTACTGGAACATCTGTTCGTGTTGGATCGTGACGAGGGTATAGAATTGGCAAAGTCCACAAAAAGTCGGCATTGTAACGTGCTCGGCCGATTGTTGGAAGATTAACCCGATACGAGACAGTACAATACAATTTGGAACACCTTGACTTTTTTTCTTTTAAAATCCTGAATGAATATCAAGGTGCTCATCTTGCTGTAAGGTTGTGTTACGCCGAACACGGACCACATTGCGGCATACCGCGACCTTATGGCGTTATCTGCCCATGATAACAGATTGCTGTGACCTCTAAAATGATTAGGTGTCTCGTAGATAACGCCGCAGTACAATGACCGTGTCACAACCCAAAATATAATGTTTAATGTTTAATAGTAATTACCGTTCCGAACAGATTCCCATGATACTTGAAACTTTTTTCATCGTAAGGGGCTTGTGCCCATGAGCTTGATTCTCAAGCACTCTTGACTACCGGATATAACGGGACCGGAAACGGACTTTAAATAAAATAGAACGGCACAATTTACACGACAGATGGCCGTCATTGTATCAGGAGACAAAAGAAGTTATAAGTATTAAAAATAAGTTCTGCGTCCGGCCACATGGCAAAGGTATTAACTTAATTATCCTACAGCCGGCGCTCCAGGGATTTTAAATTGGATGGTGTCTAGTTAGACTCGAAATGGATGCGCTGTAATTACGTAGATGCAGTTTTTTGACATAAATAAATCATTACATAGCTTGAACATTGTATATTTCTATCACAAACTATTATCTCTATAGCGGCTAGGCAAATGTGGTAGTTAGCGAGTCGCGAAATTATAAAATTATGCGCAGTATTTATTGATATGAGCGTTTTTATCGCTTTAGAAATACAGATATTTTATAGTAATATCATCATTATGTAAGTGTATACATTACTGTGTAATATGAAAACTACCTATCTATAAGAAATTTATAAAATAATTTCATGTGGAACATGTTCAATTTTATTTTAAAACGTGATATTATAACTAGCGAGAAAACAGCTGAATCTTTAATATCATGAAGATTTTTCAGCCTCACAAATGACATCACGTCTGTCACGCGGATAGATTAGAATATGAAATCAGCACGTAAACAGGCATCGAATAACATTGGTTATTATAATTATTAAAATAAACAAGATTGCTAGTATTGCTACACAAAGGACAAGAAACGTTACGATTTAAATTTAAATAGTGTTCTCTCGTTCCTGGTTGGGCGGCGTGGCCGAATGGAAGGCGGAAGAGTGGCGCTTGCGCAACTGACATTGAATCGAGGCGGTCTTCGGTCCGAGGCCACCCGCCCGATTTGTATATGTAGTTTAACGATCATTTAATCACCGCTTTATCGTTTTGTACAGAAAGAAAATTTTCCTATTTATTCATCATGCGAATTAGAGATGCGTAAGAGGAAAACCACAAGTTGTATACTATAAACATTTCCATTATTCGAGAGATTTCTTAGTAACAGGATGTGATGTGTAACAACATATTGCTACGAGAGTACATCATGAGAACGTTTATACGTTTCGTTTGTTTTGATGTGTATTTTCCGCCATCCTGTTAGTACCTAATTACAGCCGTGTCGTCACCGACTCTGTTTACCTCCAACACAAACGTGAACATTCTGATGTAAAAAAACTTTGCTAACACGTCACTCGTCTGGAACTGAAGTTTTCATTGAATTTTGCAATAAAGTACGCATTTACGTCACTTACAAGTAACAAATTCGTAAATGTGGTGCTAATTTCAACAGACGGCGGCAAAGTCACCGTCACGTGTCATTCACCACTGAGAAGGTGAATTGAGTCAAACAAGTTACATTCTAGAGATTAACAAGCGCCGATATAAAGTTTACGGTCTAGAGAGAGTTTCAATGAATGTGTAAACTCAACAACATTAATTTAGCGATGACTTGCGTGTTAGGTACGCGTCCAAAGCATGTATGTAAGGTGGAGGCAGTGAATGTGGGAGTGGGTGCGTGGCGTGTGCGCGTGGTGCATCGGTGCCGCATCGCTATCGCGGCGTGTGTCGCAAGCGGCGCGGTGGCCGTGTGCGGGGTCCGCGCGTCCTTGGCCACGGCTCTACCACGCCGATACAACGGTCCGGCGAGCCGGGGCGACCGTGCGCAACCGCTTCCGTGTACGTTTACGTCATAACAACACTCACAGCAAACAAACAGTATTGGAATCCATACAATTACGCATCTAATCGATAGCACGCGCCGAGCAATCATTAGGTTCTTTGGGTGCGTCACTACACGGTATCCCACTCACGGGGTAATTTTGCCGCTCTGACGTCAATGCTACGTAGCCTCGTAGCGGTTGCTACGGGTCACGTGCTACGGCCTATTAAACCCCCGCAACCCTCGCGTGGGAAGGTCGCTACTTCAAAAATGTAAAGAGCCGAATAACTAGGTGGGCGTTCACGTTTCTTCAGCTTGGAAACAATTTTCCTTCAGAGACTGGATGAATTTTGTGTTGCTTCGTTTTGTATGTAAATTGTTTATTAAGTCGTAAAATATCTGCTTACGTAAATGCAAAACAATTGTTCGAGAATTTGAAGAAATATTGCGTACGTCGCGCGTTGGATTATTTGCACATGAATTTAATTGGTTCACTGACTAAACGAGTTAAGAGTATGCGAGTGCCGAGTACATGAAAGGTTTGATTGACACAATCTGTCGCAAGGCGAACGAGTCCATCGTGTGTGCGCGTGAAGGGGTTAATCGGTGCACGCGTTTACAACAAAATGTACTTTGTGGGTGCGCACGTGAACCAAATGTGTTGTGATCCTACTACACACACACAGCTATATTGATTTCATACGAGACGGAGTTGTGTGCGAATGTGTGGGGGACTTTAACTGCGCAAATTGTCGTGAAATCTGTACAAACATATCGATTGTACAAAGAAAAACAAGAGTGGGTACAATACCGAAGTTAATGACGCCCGTGTTATTGTCGTACATTTTATATACGACGATGACTTCATGTCGATAGGGGATCATCATACTGACAATGTCACGACCTGCTCTCGGCGACCAATGTAAATTAAACTTTAATATTAATGATTAAGACTCGAAATCGTATAATATGGCTAGCTCGTTCGATCCGTGATAGTATTTTTAATAAAGCGTCACGTGCAACGGTGAATTAAATAAAATTTAGTTACATAGATTGATTGAATATTGATTTTGTGTCTCGCTCTTTTAATTAATAGATAAAGGAATAAAAATAATGAATTTGACCTCTTGATAGACAATGGTCGTGTCAAAACGAAATAGATAAGAAAGGAAAATGTATAATTTTCAATTGATTTGGCATTGGTAGAATATGCATGTGCCAATTGTAATTTATAGCTCTGTGTGTGTCAATAAAAATCAAGTTCCATTTGTCAAGCAACAATCAAATGCAAATTCTGAAATTACGTCACTTCAAAATCACAGTATTGTTTGTCGCGTTCGGTTACACAATAAGTGACCGCGAACGGAGGTCGGATACGTTCTCATATTTATTATACGTATTCTTCAATCTCGACCGCGGCGCGCTGCGAGGCCAGAAACACGAAAAGAGTACCGTTTCGCAACGCAACATTCAATGTCATTGTAAACGTTCCCGATAACTGAACTATACAACAATATGGCACTCGGATACACATCTAAATTAATAAGACCTCCACAATGCAATAGTTTGACACTTTAGTGTTTTGTTATCAAATATCGACTCATCTTTTATAACACAACTATTACCTATGTTGAAAGAATCTCCTCATTCTCAATGAAGAATAAAAAAAAAACAATATTTTTTTAAGACAAGTATAAATAAACTTCCAATGTCAAGAGTGTCGCAACTGCAAACAGAAGTTACGAGTGTTTACTTGTTAGCTATTCGCTAACAACCCTAAAAGTAGAGGTACGCTTACGTCGACACGGACGCCAAAACTTTTATTACGATCCCATGACGTGGAACCCGAATTCCGACTAATCTCACGACAGAAACGCGATTTACGAATCCCTAGAAAGACAAGAAAAAAACTTTGGGATTACATATTTTTGTGTTCAAAGGTCACGTGAAGAGTTTTGGCAAGTTTGTGTTCGGTGGTTTTGTAATGTTGCCTGGCTGTGTGCAACGCTTCGGCTGCGCTTGCGTCATTTCCTCTTGTTGACCGTGAACCGAGTTACGTCAGCGTTAGAGTTTCGGAACGAGATTAGGATGCTCCTACACTAGGTTTGTATTGAACGATCGCCCGGACGCTCCCACAACACTTTTATAATTAGACTCTATGAGAACATACAATTATTTTGACGAAAGCTACTTACTTCAACGGTATCATTAACGTAAGTGACACGTCTTGGTAACAAGATAAGTGTACTTAACTAAATGACAGCATTTAGGAGAATTCGTGAGTGACATCACGCAGCCCTAATTAGGTTCAGTATTAGTTATCTAGGCGCGCATCATTAGCCCGTCTCTAGAACTATGTAAGCGATAAACGAAGGAAGTTTTGTAACGAATTTATATCAATAAGGAAAATTATTAATAACAGAATTCGTGCCAAAAGGAAAATATATTTGTTTACATAAATTCTTAACAGCGTTTTCGTACAAACATATACTTGACTAAACACATGTCTAACTCTTTGACAACACATTATTTTTATAGATCATACGCGAACTTTAAATAAGTTAAATGGTAGTTTAATAATGAAATGAGTTAAGTTAACGCAACGCAAGTACGGCTAAAACGGTAATTTGACATTATAATGTTGAGGTCAATGTATAAAAAAGTCTTGTAAATCGTGTCAGTGCAGCAAAACAGGAAGCTCGCAGGACAACCGCCCGTGTGTTGATTACTAATAGTTGTAATGACTATTGTTTTTAAACAAATAACTCACTTTAAATTACCCATTGGCATCGTGCACCAACGTACGTTATGTATAAGTTATTTGAGCGACCAAAATAATTAAATACAGGAGGAAAATAAGAATATAAGTAACCTCGCAACGCGGCCGACGGACGCCAAGTATTTTTAGTGGCAGACGCATCACAACTGCAGATTGAGGGTTAATCGTAATTCTGGCCAGCGCCGGACCGGTTTGGACGTTCTTTTTATTCAGACGCTTGCATCGCGAGGTAAACGCTCGCAACGCAGAGAAATCGGCAAGCGAATAAACCACCGACTTGTCAACTTATCCAGTGTTGAACCTAGCAACATAAAGGTTGTGAACTTACAAATAACTCGGGATTATTTTAGGAAAGCGTGGGTTTCGGTTTACGTGAAGGTCGAATATTTGTAAGGACATAATATTTCCCTCTGTATGTTTGGCTCGGCGCCCCCGCATTTAAATATTTTGCGCACAAATCTGACGACGATGATGTAGGTGGAACCAAAGTGTTACTGGATTAAAAATAAGTAGCATCCAAATTGTTCACGTCTCCGTTTATAGTTGAGTAAAACGAGTACGGTTTTACTGTATGTAGCAAGGAATCAAAACTGGTGTATATATAACCCACGCACTATGAATTCATGTGTAGTATATTTATGTATAATTGGCAAAAATAAAACAAACAAAAGTGTCAGCTATCAAACGACAAGTCTATGATAGCTTACTAAATTGAATGTTCTGTGCAGAGTATCGAAAGTTGTTGAACTTTGTAGCGAAACAGGAAAAAGCTGACACTGACAGTAAGGGGCAAGAACATCTCGGAAGATTTACGATATTCGATCGGTAGCAGGGGTCACTCGCCTGCGTCGCACTACAACAGGAACTTGTATGAGACTATGTTTTTTTTCACCACTTCCAAGTAACTTATGTTCGCTTTCTCTCGATCACCGTTTAATATTTTTATTATTGCGAACTCGTTTCCTTTGCATGCACAAGTAGATCCCGGTGCTCGTACCAAGTCACGGCGTTGTTTTTATTTTTGTTCGTGCGTTGGCGAGTGTAAAAGGACTCCAGCAATTAATGCACCTTCAGGTTTTGCACGTTTTTTTTCTGTAGCGCGACTCGATGTTTTATAGTTGGTTGCCAGAAGAATAGTAACACTGAATTTATGTATATTATAGCCCTGGCTTGGGTACAACAAACTCTTGAGTCAACTTATAAATAGACTGTATTTTAACTACAAACTAAGTAACTCCATAAATCTCTACAAACAGGTCTAAAATTATCACCGATTACCAAAGTCTCTAATAGGACTGTGCACCCATTTTCATAGGTATCCATGGTGCTATATTTAGGAGCTATTTTAGGGTACGTATATTTAGCTGTGTAGTAGGGTGCGAGGCTAGTGACCCGATAGAAATTTCCTATGATTCATCCCTGCACCCTCCGCTGTTACCCCAACATTTTTAACTTCCCTCTCAGATGACGTCATCAGGTGCACCGATGTTTTTATAGAAATTCATCATCGTGTTGTCACGCCTGATTCATTGCTATACTGAGTTATTCTTTACGATGACAAAGACAGTGTTTTTAAATTCCACATCCTTTGTAATGAAAATAGGAGTAATAGTACATACCAGCTACGTTGTGCAATATCGAGGCACATTCTTGAATTGAACAGGTTCAACGAACTCATTGCCGTTTCGTATCGATAACGTGTTATCGGCAAGGGTGACGCTTTTGTTTCAACAAAAGCGTTAATTGTCTGCACTCGGTTAAATACAAAATCGATTGCGCAAATTCATCACTTTGAATTGTGGCACTTCGATAAAACGATGCGGCTATAACAATAGTTTGCCTGCTGATGGCTATGTCGTATCTGTGTTTGTGTTTACGCTGGATGAATTCGGCGGTCAGCGACCTTCGCGACGCGGATGCATCCGCGGATAGCGACGGTAGCTGTGACGCCTCCAAAACGACGTAACCGACGCCACAGGCAGGTTTTAAATGCAACCAACACAATAAAAAATAAATGCAGTGAATAAAATCCCTCGCTTCAGAGCAGCTCCTGTGACTTACGAAGCTTTGTTGCTACCTCGTTATAAACAAATCTCAACTCGTATGGAACGGGACGGAACGGCGGAAAATGGAAATACAGGCTGGCGCGTGTGTCGACGGTCAGTGATTCCACCTTCGACATAACTTGGTTCTCCCTGAGCGGTCATGTGCGACGGTATTCAAGAGAGACCGCAATTATACTGTCTCGTCCCTGTTTAATTGCTGGCACGTGCATATTTTTTTGCCTTTAGTGCGAAGTGAATGCACCCATCTCTTGCAGGGAGCGGTCGCGTGCGCCCGACCACCGTGAAACTTTTTGCAGAACTTTTTAATGGACGTGCCTTATGCTCCAGACTGAGAAGGTTAAGTCAGTTCAAGTTGCCTTTATCCGGCATTCACTGCTCTGGAGTCACGACGCTGTGAGTCATCCGGTGATATCATGTCATGACACCATCGTTGTTTTCCATGAGAAGTGAGGAAGGCAAGCTAGATTGGTCGCAGAAATGGAACGCCATTTTAGTGTAAGTTAATTGAGAACAAGGTGGTCCAGCGGATATGGGATGTTGTTGAGTTGGTCAATGTCAAAATAATTTGCATTGTCCTTGACATTGAACAATTCTATTTTGTTTGATTATGTTGCTGCTTTAGTAAGGTAAAAACTCAATAATATATAAATTGGTTAAAATTGTATTGGAAACTAGTTTTCTGATAAGTAGCACGATGTATTTTCAAATATAGGTTATACAGATGTAGGCAAACGGAGCGTGTCACAACACACGGGCGTCGTATCGGCGGATAAGTGCGCGGTTACGCAAATCCGCAGATATGTCGGCGCTGCGCGGGCGCGCCGCTTGCACAAGGTTTCGCAGACCTTTGTTTTACGCAACCGGATCGATTTAATAGCTAGTCGTGCGTTTTCTCAGCTGTGTACCCGATAGCAAAATTAACGATTCCGAATTGAGAAATTGTACAAAATTATTGTAATAGCGACAAAAGAGCCATACTTATTGTCAAAGAAATATTATCAAAAAAAGGGGAAGGAAGACTGGTTTCCGCTATTTAGGTAACAATGACCCTGTATGCTTCTGGTTTAGCAAGGTGTACGTCAACACCAATTCTTCGCGCTTTGAATTCTACTGACAATCGGATTTACTTTTGTATGGATGACACCTATGTCCGGTAATTCATTATTGAGGACGTTCTTTATACATTATGTTATGTTCTACGAACAAGTAAAGGCGACTTTCGCTTGCGAGCGCTGCACTATCGCCCGCGTCCGGTAGTCGCATCCGGTGTTTTCGTACTACCAAAAAAGGTGCGAACACACGTTATTTATAGCCATGACGAATGCTTACGTCGTCCTCGTCGATACATTTATTTTCAGAATGAGGGAAAGGTGTAGGCGTCTTGAACTCGAAAGTATTCCGGCTTATTTCATGGTTGAAATTTCCGACAAAGGAGCAGTGAAGACATTCGAGCATGTCTTGGTCATTCAAGGCTAACGATGAGTCACTTTCATAAGCCTCGATATGGCATCAGACCTTTTGAAACGCAGCAGAGGCATCGGTTCCGCACGATTGAGGATCCGGCGCGGTGCAGCTTCGGCTGCGGCGTTGACCACGCGACATTGGCACAGTTGCGCGACCTCACCACGCCACGCCGCGCTAGTCGCGATCGAGGCCGCGAATAAATGCCCCAAAACAAGAACCAACAGTGCGCTTGAATTCCGGCACGCCTGAATCACGCCGTACAAATTAGCACTCGATGCGCGCTCGTTTATCTAACACGAGTAGCCAGCGGCCACACCCGCGCGAAAAATACCAGCAGCGGATGCCAACTACGCAGTGCACAGTCAGACACTACGCGAAATAAAAGGTCCATTACGCAAACTAAACGATAATGGCAAAGTACAACTGCACCAGAAGTTATACAACTAGCAAAACTGACGTATATTACTGGGCGCTCAGTATTATGCAAATACATCGCTGTAATGTGGAGGTCTCTTGCACCACGAAGCTTTAGCAACTCTGTTTCAAAACGTTTTCAAAATAGTCGGCGTAGGTGCGCAGGCAGCTACAAGAGCTGTGTTGATCGACCGCTGCTGAGATATCGGCAACTACCTCGAGGCGTTATTTAGGTTATCGTGTTGCACATCTTTTTTTAAAATTATAGTGCAGTTGCGTGTCGGTCCACTAACGTATACAAGGTATACATTAAAATCGGTCACAAATTAACTTCAGATTTGGAAGGAAATGTTGAGAGGCAGTGGCCGGACAGGCATGCGACGCAGTGGCGTCTGCCGGGTGGCGAGGCGGCCGTCTATCGCGGACCAATTTGGCACATCCGCTGGCAAGCGGCGCTCAGACCACACCGTAAATATCCCGTCCCGTTAAACACAACAGACGTGCGAATACATCAACCAGATATATTATTCGTGTTGAAATTAGAGTCGTCTTTAATTTCCATCACAATTTTACTGGTTTTTGGAATAAAAATATGCGGAGATATCATACCACGAGATGTCTATGGTTTCCAAGCTACGGCTACGGATAGACAGGAGCGGAGACGGCAAACATAAGAATTGCGTAATTGAATTCCGGTGGATCGTCGTCATTGTTTGCAATACATTCGATCATCCGATCCGGCTTCTGAACACCGTGTTACGCAAAAAACCGGGTCGTATTTTGTTACCTGGATCATTCGACGAAGATATTATTTTGGCGGGGGTAGGCGGGATGCAGCTGAACAATAAGCTTGGGACAATGTTTGTACCTGCGCTTATTTACAAAGGACTAAAATCACGTTGTACGAACAAAATGGGCTCCGGACTGTCTGGTGTGTTATTAAATTTAGCTAATGCCGAACAACAAACTGGCGAGACAAATTAGATTTGTGAAGGCGGACAAAGGCTATTTCTGTCACGCGAAACTGTTTCCGCTTTTTTACATCCTGTCGGTGATGCCAAAATTAAGAATGCATTATTCGTATAAAGGTAGTTTACACTCAAACATCCGGCTTTCTGTCGTCAGGTCTGTGATGTCACCAGCAAGCTGATTTATTTTTATACAAAGATTTGTTATTGTGATTTGTATAATAAGAGATACATCCTTCCAGGAAGTACAGCACTGTTAATTATGTGTCGTCATAGTAATCTGACGTATGTGACGTGGCTCCTTAGTGTTGTCGTAGGGCGCGAGTCGCGAGGATCTCGCTACCTGTGTTATCGCCACGACCTCGTTTTCCTCCCCCAAGGCCTGCGCCCGGATACACCGCCCGAGATTTCTCTTGATAGTTTCTAGTTACAAACTAAATTATCGTTTTTGTTATCTATTGAAACATTCGATAACAGAGAAAGTAGAATTCCGGTAGGAACACCCTTTATATATATATGCATACTAGGACCCATTGTTTATAAAAAAAGGCTTTATATTATGGACTGTGACATGATTTATATCCTTATAAAACGTCTTCGTTTCTTAATTTTAATCTCAAAGGCCAGAGAGAAATCTGTTTTCATCTCAAAGAACAAGAAAAACTACGGGCGAGTATTAAGAAAATCCACTTCAAAGCGTCAAAGAGAGTGCGGAATCAATATTAATGTTCTTGTTTACCTTTGAGACGGCGGGAACGCGGGATGTTGATCGGGGCGTCCCGCCGGATGACTCGAATTTATAATCAGGGGTGCCTTTATATCGCACCGAGACGTGAGAACGGAGGTCGAAGGGCGGGACACTTGCTCGAGTTGCACCTTCACTGATACACCATTCTCACGATTGCGAACAACAGCTGGGGAATAGTGACCGACGCGACATGTGCAATCATTAGAATTTATTAGGGCTCAGCAAGGTCAGCTGCGCGTATGTTAATGGGGGTTTGTTTGACCATCTGAATAATCTGATACGTTAACTATGTATAAACGATGTCCTCTTGGAGAATGTGCCACATATGGTCATTATCCGAACGAAAACTTTGGGTCACAGATTGTAAACCAGCTGTCTACCTGCTTGACCTACACGCTAAGGCCCGTTATCATTAAGTAGAACAAAAAGCGATATTTCCGCTCCGACACCGGCAACATGGCAAAACTGGAAACACATCTGCAATATCCTGCTTAATTTATATTAACGGTCAGACAAAACAGACGCGAGCGCGTCCCGTTTGCTCAATAACTAGAGTCTTTTGTACACGCCATGTTCAGCGGACATTATCAAAGCTATTGCAATTGTAAGTACTATTCATTGAATGATGAATGATCCCTACGTTTCTTTTGAATTAAAATTAAAAATATTGCAAACGTAGACAGCGGCGCGCCGCCGTTGGTGCTGTAAAAAGTTTGTCGGTACTGTTTGGAGGTTCTGTGTAATAACCAAAAGTAAAACATTCCGGCTTTGAGAGGCAAGTTTGGAAAAGGCTTCTCAAGTCGCGGCGTATGCCGCTATTACGTAAAGGGTAAAGCAAAAGTTTTTACATCAGTGCTACGGTCGCGGTGCTTCCCGTTCCGCATCGCGAACCGACGCTTTTGACAACACTCGCTTTGATGACGCGACGCTGAAAAGAGTATTAAATTTTACCTTTTCCACTGTCTGTCTGTCCACTCGAAAGCGGACTGAATTAATACTGTTGCGCAAATACACAGATGGAATTCGTTTTATTCGCGTTTGTACCGTATATTGGGTTTCGAACATGTCTGCGGCTATGCGGTCATGTCAAAGGCATATTCGGATTCGCAACGTGAATGTCACTAGGGACGAGTCCAAAAGGTCAAAGAAACCATCACAGTAAAGTTTCAAGTTCGGGTGGGTGTACTTAATATTGTCTCAGAGAGGACGACAAAGATAATCCAATACACAAAAGGTTGGCTGTTGCCCCCACCGTGGGAGGAGGGGTTCGAGAGAATTATAACTACAATAGGCGAGATTCTGACTTACAGAAGCTTACGATCGTACTATAAAAACAGTATCATAGGAGCATTTTACTTTTTTTATAATATTAGATGGAAATAAAGAATATAACAAACGAATCTTATTAATAAAGCAAAAAAGAAGGGTTGGTATACGGGCAGGTGAATAGAATTAATTTAAAATAGTTACTTGAAGAATGTGGTCGTTAAAATTACGCGTTAAGGGGTGCATAAAGATTTCTAACAAGGCAGTTTCTCAGTATCACCTGATCGGATAAGGGCAGGTACCCGTATGAGAATTTACATCACCATACGGGTTCAAAGAGGTGGTGTATAAAACTTACGCAGACGCCACGCGGTGTGGCGCGGGCGGTGCGCAAGCGCATTGCCGCGGACCCTTGACCCGATTGCGGCGCGCGCGCAGTATTGTACGCAGCAATGACACCGTTCGCCTTGAGCCGCTAGCATTGCCGGAGATATTCGCAACAATGGAGGCCAGATAACATTTCAAAAGTTTGAAAATCCGCTGGTTCCTACCGGCCAATGCGAGACCGGTGTAATTAATAAGCGTTGAGTAATCCTATTGTGTGATTGTCCTTTCATTGCATTTTTTTAAATAGTAACCGAGTGTATACCTTTAAATTGTTATTATTGTTAGTCATACATAGCGTAATGATTAAGCATGAAGGGACTATATCTGTAGGCTACTATTACTATCTGTGCTTATGTGGCGCCTATAGTGCAATATATTGACTTCAGTTTATCGAGAACGACTAGTCACTTTCTAGGACGACTCATAGCGCACGTGAATCTTCATAATGAACGATTGATAACAGTTTATAGCAGTAGCACAAGGCGATTGACTCATAAAGGAAGCGAGTGGCTACTTAAAATACAAAGAGCATTTCCGTTTCCCTTCCGACCTTTTTATTAAGTCATCTGTTTTCTCACGATCGATCTGTAGTGGGCGTCAACAGTAAAAATACCGAGGAAGTAAACGATCGATCAATTTTAAGCGGGTCGATCGCCGATATCAGTTATGGATCTGATACTTTAGATATTTTGACATTGATAAAATTAACCGGCACTATTATATATTCACAAGGGCTTGCAGCATATAGCTGCTGAAATATAAACTATAATAAATAAACACATTTCAATAAGAAAGACTCACCTTTGAGGATCAGCGAAGACAAATTTTCTCAGTTTAAGATCCCGCAAAACGATGCCTTGTTCGTGACACGCGGCCACTGTTTCTGCCATTTGTCTGAACAGCCTGCGAGCTTCGTGTTCCCTTAGCCGTTTTCTCGCCCTCACGTATGAGTGGAGGTCGGAGTGCGACCGAGGGAAGATAAGATATACTCTCTTATCACCGACTAGGACTTCGTGTATGGGGTTGACGTGCGGATGGCCATCAAGCCTATAGTGGGCTTGTAGTAAGCTGCTGCAATCTCGTGACACCACCTATAGGAAAACGGCATTATTAACACACTTATTCCACAAAACTAATTTTGTGAAAAATAACTATACTCTTGCACTACCTAGTTTATACACTCTGGCGACGGCTGCGGCAGTCAACAATAATGAATTGAAGGTGTTTTCCGGGAAAGTAACTATTTCCTACGATTCCGGTCGATTCTTTGCATTCTTAAATTAATTACGTTGGGTTATAAGGTTTGTAACAGTTTTCCTTTTGTCACTGACCTAGTTTAAAGACACTCATTCAACATATTTCTCTAAGCTCTATATCTACCTAAATTTGTAAAGCATTTCATGCAATTTTTATCTTGTTTATAGGACGTTCCCAAAACAGATACGTTAAAAATATGCGTTAAACTGCCGTCCATGTTTTGCACACACAAAGGGTTCCTATTTCAAAGCGGCCGTGATTTAAAAGGGCTTAGTCTAATGTGAATAACGAGGTTGAAACATTTAGTGAATAGAGGCAAGCTAACCCCTCCTTTGCAAATCTAGCCCAGTCGACTTCAAACAGAATCGTTGGGTGACGACAAAGTAGAAATCAAACGAAACGGACAAGATAATTGTTGCAATACATTTTTCAATAGTGAATAGGCAAGAGTTGTCGGCAACGTTAAGCTTTCTAGAACCGCTATCGGGTCAGCTACATGGAATGGTACAGTTATTTATAAATGAACGTTTGTTCTGATCCGTGTGTGTCGTGCACGTTGCTCACTGCGATCGGCCGAAATGTCAACGACATTGTGAACGCAAATTCCAAATCTGATTTCCCGACTCACGAATGATGAATCACGTCGCGTGCGTCAAACCATTTCTTTTTCGACTGGTACAGTATAAATAGTTGTGGTTATTTCAGCGCAGTCACCCTAGACATGGCGTCGCGCTTTTTCGATTTCTATTAATGTTGGGCGTTGTACGAAAATAAAACATGACCCATTTGTGGACGGTGTTTGCGAAAACATGAGGTTTTGATAAGAATTTGCAGTGTTGACAGAACACTTGATATTATTTGACATCGAACGTATTTTACGGGAGCTAACCTACTTAACTGTTATCAATATTTGTATAATCACAAGGTATGTATATCTATTGCAAAATATTTGTAAAGCGCACTCAATAGCCGTGTAGTCACAATTTGGCATTAGTTCTCTTATGATGACCTAGACAAGTCAATCCAATTACAATTGCAAAATATTTTATACCTTAATAACATTACCTACACAAGATAGGATACATAGGTAAGTTTCCTGTTCTATTGTAACAATCTGAGTTGTTTATGTTTAAGGAGCATAACAAATTCACAAGCCTTCATCCGTTCTAGGATAATTTACAATAGCAGTTATCTGTACATATATGGCTGCTGTCTCGATTGTTTGCAGATTGATTGCAGACGTCCATGATATGATTCGATTCGAGAGCTAAATCCTCGACATTACTGCGTATGTCAGGCTATGTTTGGAGTGCTCGTGTTAATACACCTATTAAGTCAGCAATGAACAAGCGCCATGCTGTTCGCGTCGATCGTACTGTTTAGTGGGGGGAGGGCAAAGGAGGGGGGCCCCTAGCCTCGCTATGACATTCGGCGATCGGCGCGTTATCAAATCGTCTATTTCACAATGTCAATGAGAAGGTCAAGCTTATTTTAGTCCCGACCTGATGCGATCACAAGTGACGCTACAAGTTTGTGTAGGCTAAATCGTTTACCAATGATGGTAATATATTTTTCATAAAAGAAATACAAGAAGAATGTATCACACATGACGAATGTGAAACATAAACGTGGCAGTCGTGTCGGCAATAGTCGGTGTTGTAAATACGCTCGGCGTTTAGCAACGATAACGTTGCCACACTTTAACCTTGCCAAGTTCTCACGAGGGAAGTGCCTATTCTGTGCCTTGACAATACTAGTATAGGCCTTTGTTAGGACACCAATGTGTCCTGTATTGCCTAAATTTAGTCGTCAAAAGCCTGTGCGTAAAATTCGTTAGAAATAACTTGTTTTTAAACAAGTTTCTAGACTCAGCGCAGTGATTCACAAAAGCCAATAAGGATAATTCTCGTATAACGTAAAAATGAGTAAGTTTTGAATATTTGCACTGCCTAATTATTATAGTTTACGTAGTGCATGACGAGTTGGTTAGGTGTAGTGCAATCTGTGCAACAATTAGCGTTGTTAGCGTTATAATTGCCGTTATTGTTAGGTTATCGATTGCGAAAGTCGACACATGACATTGTAAAAACGGCGATGGCTGTGGCCTACAAGTGCGATCGAGCAGCGCGCGGGGCCATGACATATAAAGTATGACATCGGTTTTAAACAAGATGCTATGAACAATGCACGCGAGACTCATGAAAAAACTGCTATTGAACATTAATTCACGAATTATTTACACACGACTGGAGTTTACTAGACATAGGTACCCGGGTAGATAACTAGTCCGAAATGATAAATTTAATAATAAGTAAAGGCAAATGTATTTCAAGACCTATCACGAAATAAATTGCCAAATAGAAGTGGCTGTCAGAAGTCACTAATGGTTATTATTGACAAACTTAATAATTGGATTGAAGGGACACGACATGTGGGCACATTATTATATTCTCAGCTTATCTCTACATGGGGTCCGATCCCGTGGGATAGTGAGAACCCTTTACTAAATATTTTGCTAGATATTGACTTTGTGAGGAGCAATTACACAAATATGGTGAATTAACCTTTTTCGTAAAATGTTACTAGATACGTTGGTATATTCGGATGTGGAGTTCCACACTTAGTTATTTGCTATGACAATTATGTTTTTAACAAAGGATATTTCAGCGGATGAATAACAATTGGTTCAGCTAATTAGATTAATGTACTAAGAGGTCGAACTAAAACAAGAGATTACGCACTATATCAATCAAACAAAGCCACGCAACGCCTGTTGAAACCCGGCACAATTTCGACACGGCACACGTTACGCATCCTAGCCGAGTCGCGAGAAATACAGACTGTCTTAGGCAATTTGAGAAAACTAAATTTAAAAAATACTATGTACCTGTCTTTGTTTACAGATAATCAAATAGCTAAGCGTTGAAATTTAAAATTTCCTATTTTATAGCTATATCAAGCCAAAAGCGATTTTACGTGAATACTAATAAAGTAGATTTTAATTGAATAGGTACCTATCAACAGAACCCGTACCTACATTTGCATAAACTTTTGCAAGTTCGTTCAATAAAGTTGTTGGACTGGAGTTCCAAGTAGATAGCTATAGGTACTAAAGGCATTTATAGCGCAAGTTTACTGTGGCAAACTAACCCGATCTTCTCTACTGACTGTAGCACATCTAGGTGCATTTATAGGTAGGTACGCTGTAACTCGTCGCGGTTCCGGGAGTCATTGCACTGACGTCAGTATCTAATGTAAGACTTAGAACTTATAATGAAGTCTAAGATATCGCTCTAGTCAGACTGAGATTAGATAAGTACTTTAGTAGGTACTCACTTTGCACACATATTCCTCTTGCGTTCGCACGTCCACACACCGGCAAAGCGAGGAGCCCTCAACTTGTTCTAATAGGAGATACTTTTCAGCGACCAGCGCCGCTTGGAACTGGTGTTGAGGTGGCGCCGGGCTGGAGGGCGCCGGGGGGCTGGACGGCGAGGGTGCCGCCGTCAGCCGGTCCGTCAGCACTGGCGACTGAGCCCTCTCCTCCGCTTTGCTGTCCTCGCCAGCCGGCACCGGCACGGTAACTGCAGGCTTGCTCAGGCGCAGCGGCCACAGCAACGATGGTGATCCGGGTTCCATCACTAACACTTATCACTGTCACGTTTCACTTATGTTCACAAACACACACAAACACTTATAACGATGAAGGAACTACGATGAGATGAACATGATCTGTAACAAAACGAAAACCACTTATTAGTAATTTCCCGTTTGTGACACTTGCAAATCCACTGCACCGACGATGTTACAAAATTTGAAACAAAACGAGACAATCGACACGATTTAGTAACGTTATTTAGTAAGGGGGAAATTACGAATAAAGTACGAACCTTGAAATGATTCGCCCTGAGTGGATATCGTACCAAAATTTGACTGTCCGTGGTCACGAACAAGTCGCTTTATTTTGTGACGAATTACAGGAAGTATCTTCAAGTAATTCTTGCACTGATAGACGGCCAATATTTTGGGCCGGTGTCCGCTCGGGTTGTTGTGAAACTAAACGAACACACGTCCTATTCTCACTAACGCCATTGCGAGACTGTCGACGACGCTCGCTGCGAAGCCTCGGACCGGCAACCGATCCAACGTCCAATGTCGACACACCGTCAGCTTGCGTAGTACGCTACAATACACCACGCGTTATGAGACGGAGCTATAACACTGTATCTGTCTCTCTCTGCAACTCAGCACAGGTACTTCAAAGAAAAAGACAGACATTGACCATTCATTTACGTTTGGCAATGCAATCGCAAACGTTTGTTTCAATATTTTTCACAAGACTCAGGTAATATTATTACACATTTACCTTCAATTTAATTTAATTAATAAAATATGTATTCATTTTGGTTCAATATTTATGACGATTTCAATCATAATGAGTTGTATTGATAAACAAATTGTCAGTGCTAAATGATGCAACAGAATAGGTAATTTTAATTTAGAAATCTACGGAGATTGATACGTTTCATCTACTAATTTACAAAACATTAATTTGTAAGTTAATTAGTTTACATTGTATACAGTTCTTAACAGTCTCATTCAGTTCAACTATGATGATTTAAGATACTTCGAGTTGTGAGTTCAGTTTATTGGTAGGTAAGTAAGTTACGTGATCAAAATCATGCTTTGTCGTAATTTTTATGTGTGTTTGTTGCAGAAAATATAGCTAAAGTAAACTGTGCGAAGTATTTCATCATTTACTGTGACTGATATCTACATAAATATACTTATATACAGTATACAGACAGACTAGTAAGCTGGTGAGAACATATGTGTAGATAATGAATTGTTAACTTCATATTAGTTTTATTGATCAACATTGAATTTGATACCTATTCACTATGGTTGCGGTCGCGGCTTATTAATTAAGGTGTTGAAGTGCAAACAAAGATAGCCTTTTAAGTCAGATGACACAAGTTATTTAGGAACTACTTACCCAATAACTTAAAAGTTAGCTCCGCTTTGGTATTATAATTTTTGTAGTACAACGTGAGTTCGGAATTATAGACACCTACGGAATGGCGGAAGAAAATAAATGTTGCATTGTTTATCAGGCAGCAGCACGTGATTGGTGTTTATTGTTGGATTTCTTTTTTTTAATCGAGCTTAAAATTTGAATTTTAATCTTTTAAAGTCTCTCTTATCTATGTTACTATGTTCCAATTACGAACTGTAAGCAATACTTATTATTTAAGTATTTGAAGTTAATATTATAAACAAATAAATCGATAAAGTATTTAGTTTTTAATACCTATTCATTATAACATTTCCGTATTGTCGTGGTGGCCGAGAGGTTAAGACGCCCGCTTCTCATGCATGAGGGTGCGGGTTCGAAACCTGGCAAGTACCAATGTGACTTTTTCCGAATTATATGTACTTTCTATGATTATTTAGACACCACTGACATACGGTGAAGGTAAACATCGTGAGGAAACCTGGACTTATAATTTCTAATTATAAGTTTGAAATCACCAACCCGCATTAAGCAAGCGTGGTGATTAATGCTCTAACCTTCTCCGTGTGAGAAGAGGCCTTTGCTCAGCAGTGGGCACTTATAGGCTGATGATGATGATGATGATAACATTTCCGGCTTAAGGATTATTATATATTTTGAATAAATTATTAGTTTCGATATAAAATCCGTGATTATTCAACTATAACGTAAGGTTGGCTCATTCAAACGTGGCTGTATCAAAATTTGATACATTAGCTAAGCGCGTCGCAATTTTTAACGTAACTAATTCTCAAGGTCGTTCTTGAATAGACTTTAGAGGTAGATAGAAAATTGTTTAAATATGTAGGTAAGTATATACATTTTATTTAAACTACAAAATTACCTTACCTCTTTTAATTCTTCTGCAAATAAAAATTGGTTGTGAACTTGTGACTTGTGTAATCGTCAATGCACTACAGGCGGCGCTGGCGGATGTTCTTAAAATAATGCACCTGCTAATAAAATTACCCTCTTATTTATCATAGAATTTATAGGTACCATGCCTTTGGAATAAATACGATGTTTTCATAATGTTAGTGGTTGTGATGAAATTATTTCAATTTACAAGCTCCCAAGTATATGAAACATTTAACATGCATTAAAATGATTTAACTCTTGAATTTATAAATATATAATTATTTCCTTAATTAATTTAAAGAAGTTTAATACATACAAATATATTTTTTTATTTACCAGAAAATAATAATAATAATAACCGGTTAAACATTTATTTACCGGAACATTAAAATTGCGCAATGTTTTTTTTTATTGTGCAACCGTAATACTACGTAATAGATGCAAAGTAGGTTACTACCCAGAATGATCGAGCCTTTGTCCTTGGTGGATTAAAAAAATTGAATTAATGTATAGTCTATTCTCTAACCTAACAACGCGCTCGATTCGCGCCAATCATCCGTCGCTTAGCAACGGCAAAGCTACTGGCGCATTGTGATCGTTGTTTATTTTTTCCGACCTCGGTTAAACTTGAGAGCACCTTAGCAAATTCACTAAACAGATAGGTCAGTAGCGTTATTCAGATTCTGATTGTACAATGGATACGTACATAAAGTATCCAAAGGTCAAAACAAGACAAGGGTTTTAAATATTATTATTGTTACATGAAATACATTTTTATTGACGTCGTTATGATAGTACATTGATTTGTTTGAACCATATTTCACGTAGAATTATTACAACATTTTATTATTATCACGCGAAATGACACAGTAAATACCTACTAAATAAACAAGTTGACCCCAAATGACTTCCTTGCCTGAAATTGAAGTTCACAATAAGAAAAAAACTTAACCTTTCTCTCCAATCGTATCCAATGCGTCGTAAATTCAGGATAAATTGCGCCATCTATAACAAAACAGTCATTGGACACAATGCCATGCATCGTCTCGTCTGATCGCCATGTTTGCACACGTCTGGTTAACTTGATGATTCAACAGACAGTAATTCGAGCGATCCTTTGTCCGCTCAAGTTAGTCAGGGTTCATACATTCCCGATCAATGAAGCACGGGATGACTTAGACGGGTCTTGACTCCGTGAACCGAACACATTAGTGGTTCCTTGCTATTTCCGGGGTTAAACTGGTATTTATCAAGATCATATTTGTTTAAATTTTAACAGAGGCAGCTTATCCTGGGTTGCCTTATCCAAAAAATTGGTCTGTAAATACTCACTTACTTTTTACGTCACGTTTATTCCAATTTTGAAATGTCAGGTGCAAGCCGGAATTTAAAATTTATTTATAAACTTTTTCCTTTTTGGTTGCCATGTAAAAAACACGTAGGTGGATTAGACTGATATCAAAGGTCAATTTCTTAGTACCTATTTATTTTTAAAATGGGGGATTTCTTGCCAAGGTGAACGTAAACATGGTCAGACAGTCGAAAATATACCTATTATAATGTTTATCAACATATCAATTTGTTTTTATCCTCTTGTTGTGTTGGGGAAATACAATTCAATGTTTTGTTAATGGCTACAAGATTGTATTAAACTTAAATATTTGTCAAACTTTTTTGTATGTTATGTCTAGTTGCATAAATCTATTTTTCGTCACATGACTCAATGATTCACTATATGTAACAAATTAAGGTTACAAATAAAATATACTTCATCCAACTAATAGTATAAATGCCAAAGTAAACTCTCTGTCTGTCTGTCTTCTCTTCACGCCTAAACTACTGAACCTATTTCAGCGAAATGTGTAATTTGGTACAGACATAGTTTGGAACTCGAGAAAGGACATAATTATGATAGTTTTTATACCAAAAATCTCAGGAAGTCACTATTCCACGTGAAGGTAGTCGCGAGCAAAAGCTAGTAATAATATCTATATTTACATTTAATTCATATCCTAAAAAATTATTAGACTATACGTTCCAATAATATCTAAGAAGATATAAAAATAAAAAGCTGCGTAAACAACTGTTCTGAAGTTAGTTTTTCTTGGAAAACAGACACAGAGAACAAACTTATAAAGGATGAATTCACGCATAATATATTTTTAAATGTAACTGGAATTCTGATGAAGTCAGTGGGTCTCTGTACTCAGTACTCACATTTAACCACATTACGTTTTCCGTAAGTAGGTTGCAAAGTATCAAGGAAAGTTGTGGTTAAATTAAATCAACGAATAAACGGAATTAGGTACGTACCCATTTTTAGATTTTCCTTTCCTGGATTTTGGCAGTGATAATTTTAGGTAGGTAGGAATGTATTGTTCCGATTCTCTTTGTAAAATTGTCACCGCGTTTTTTTCATTCAAAACCCTAAGTGACCATCAGTGTTTTCTCTCACATATATTATTTTGAACCATCATGCCGATGCTTAGAGATTGATAACAAATAAAAAACCACAATTATGATTTATTTCAATGACAGATTTTGAGGTTATTTTATTGTAGGTAGCAAAGAGGTTAAATGTAATATTAATGTACCTCCACGGCCGGGACAAGCAGCTGCCGGAAAGGTAGCTTTTAGCATTTAGCTGGTTAGATATACAAGTTATTGTTAGTGTTTCCTCTTGGCTAGAATTCAAATTACGAATAAGATGCTTATTAGAGTAAATGTAAATAATAACTTCTCAGTAGGTATGAATGCCTACTTATTAAAATTCTTTCTTAATTTTCACTTCTCCGTATTTTTAATACAAAGGACGGAAGTTTATAATATGGATACCAAATAGGTACATTCCAAAAACGTGGTACTTAAGTAGGTTATAGGATGAAGCGATTTTATGGTACCTACTTACTCTTTTGAGTTTGATGGTCAACCTAACTACCTTTAGCGAACAGCATAGACATCTAAAGATTTTTTTGACAACCACGCCACACATTCATCAGCTAATTTAGAAGGTACCTAGACCTACTAAAGAGGAATTTTATAAAAAAAAACATTCTAAAAATTTGTACAATAAAGGATTGTCCTAGGTAATTTCTAAGACTGACTTCGTCATAAGTATGAGGTATGCGCGACTATCTATTATTCATAATGACATTAGTCAGCCTCTATGACCATATCGTACAAGTTTCCGAGACCTTGTGTCATCCAGTCACCCTGATTCTCTCATGGCGCAATGCTTACGTGTAGACC